ATCTCTACCAAACACACTCTAATTTTTCGAGTACGGCAACCCTGCTTTTATAAAGAACTTTGTGTAATAAGTGGCTTCCATAATTTTTCGAAAAGCAAGTCATTTACATCAATTTTTAGGAAGAAATCTTCAAGATCATGATTTGATGTCCATTCTTGTTGTTTATTCCCTAACAGCAAATTGAAATCAAGACAATCAGATAAATCAATCGAAAAATGAAATGGAACTAAGGGTCGGTTTGAATGCAAGAGCGGAAAATGGGTGGAAAAAAAATGATTTCCAAGGAAAGTAATTGTTTAGAAATTATTTTGTAGGGAATTGTTAATTAAGTGTGTTTGATATGTATAATTTTCCACCAGAAAAAATTTAAAATTTTCTATTTATTTGGCTTTATTTTATATGAAAATTATTAATTAAAGTGATAATTTTTTCCACAATTGGTTATAAAATTTGTTTCCATTGTCAAAAATTTAAAAAAAAAACAAAAAAAAAAAATATTTGTTTAATCAAAATTTAGTGTTCGTTTGATTTTGTTTTACATTGAAATTGTAAATTAAAGTGATTTTTTTTACAATTGGTTATGACATTTGTTTCCATTTAAAAAAAAAAAAAAAATTCAACAGCCACCTGGAAATTTTTTTCCCACCAATTTTCAACAAAAACCCGGAAAATAGGCGCGTGGGGACGGGGAGGAAAAACATTTTTCGTGGAATTAATTGTTTTGAGTTTGATTTTTAATTCTATCTAATTATCTAATAAAATAAACAATTAAAAATAAATCGACATACTCTTGAAATTAATAAAACCACAAAATGCACCAGATCCTAAATCCGTCGTTATTAATCTACAATATCCATTCCTTGCTATTAACCAATTTTTATTTTATGTTGATAGTCGACATTCTTTATGTGACATTTTCTTTCTCAAGATAAATTAAACCAAATGTTATCAAGATACAACTATCGAAGCAAACTTGGGGGTTCTTGTAAAAATGACCTAGTCAAAGCCCCATAATTTCACTTTGACTTTTACAATTGACAATAATCCCCAAATGATCAATTTGCTGTAAAAAGACAAAAACACCCTTAAGTGACTA